TACTTTGCACTTTAAAGTGGTACTAATGGAAAGATTTGAATGTTTAAAGTTAAGCTTTGGAGAAAAATAGTAGGATCACTCTAAGTGGTCACTGCTTGCAATAGGGACTGAATAAAGTCACCAGGTTGTACCTCAATAACTGTATATCTACTCTAAATAGTATCATTAAATGAAAGGTACCAATTATCACACAGTGACTTGCTTACATGAATAACTTAATTTGAACAAGTAGCAATAGCTAATTGGAAAGATGTGCTAATCGGAAGCCCACAGTCTGTCTCTCTCTGTCTCTCTCTGTCTCTCTCTCTCTCTCACACACACACACACACACACACACACAAACACACACACACATTCACTCACATATGGTGTCCTTCAGGAAATTCCACACATGGAGTGATACCGTTCAACAGGGATGCCTCTAAATCCTGGAAAAGTGTCTGACTCCCCGAATCCCCATGAGGTATGCCAGAAATTCAGCTTTCTCACTGTGAGGATGAAATCAGATAAAGAGGGAGACTGGGGACACTGGGTGAATAATTCCACTCAGTTGGTATAATCGAATTACAGGGCTTGTAAATGGAGGTGCCAAAAGACAGTGGTCAGAGGGGGAAATTCAACCTCTAGTCCCCTCTAGGCGGTGTAGCCTGGAAGAGAACAGCAAAGCAGTGCACCAGTGGGGATTTCTCTTGAAGCCCAAATGCCCCTGTGCAGAGATAGGCTGGGGCTTGCCCTGCAGGCCACACAGCTCGGGCGAGCCTCCTCCAAGGGCACCTTGTCAGGCTCACACGTCCTGGAAGCTGCGCATTGCAGACCAGAGTCACAGGGAAGCAGTCTGGGACCCAAGTCTCTTCTTAGGGAGGAGCTGCCTGGTGGCCACTCATGTCTGTGTTGGATGTGAGTGTGTAGGGCCGTTTGACACTTATGTGCGGGCCTCTGATCCGTGTACATTGCTGGCCCCACCTCAGCCTCTGAGACTCCCCATGGAGTCTGTTAGCATGACACAGATTCCTAACAAGGTGAAAGGCTCGGGTGATCAGTGAGGAATGAACATGGGGCATCTTGCGGGCTCCTTCTGGAGTAAGTCCCTCCAGGCTGGCCCTTTGCAAGAGCCTCTTCTCTTGTGTGCTTTACGGTGGAGTGGAGCAGCCGGCGAAAAGCCAGGCAGGTGCTGGTCAGCTTTCTGTTACTGCAACAAACATCTGAGATAACCAAATTATGAGGAAAAAAGGTTTATTTGGGCTCATAGTTTTGGAGGTTTCAGTTCATGATTGGTTGGCCCTGATGCTTTTGGGCCTGGGGTGGCATGTCATGACAGGAGTATATGGCAGAGGAAGCACATTCACCTCATGGCTGATGCAAAAGAAAGGAGAAGGGGGCTGGGGCCCTACAATCCCCTCAGGGCACACCCCATGGCCTGCAGGCCTCCCATGAGGCCCCACCTTTTAAAGGTTCCACTACCTCTCAACAGCTCCTGGCTGGGGTCTGAGTCCTTAATACCTGGGCCTTGGGGACATGCCAGACCCCAAACCTAGCAGCAGGTATGAAGGCAAACCTGCCCCGCCTTCCTGCTACCTCCAGAGAGCGTGCCTAAGAACTTTCCTGTCCTCTTCAATGTAGTGTCTCCATGCACCTGTTGTGCCTGCCGCCACTGCCACCAGTGCCACCACAGTAACCATAGGCATCTCTAGTCTCTTTAGGAAGGAGGAATTATTTTAAAATAAGAGAACCGGGGCCAAAGGCTTCCCTCAACTAGAACTCTCAGTCCATTAAGCTATAGTTACATAAAATCTCAAGTCCTGGGATTCTAGTAACTCCAAAGTTCTCCATAATATGAAGCCAACTTATCCGAGCTGAAATTTACCACTTTTTAACTCACAAAAAGGATTTTTCAAGAATTTTGCAATGTTGATTTAAAAAAATATATAACGGTATTATTTTAAAATTTTGTTTAAAATATTGTAAACACTGTGAAGAACTCATGAAAGTCTTTCTCTGTCCCTGATGCATTTCTTAGAAATCATTCTTGTCCATTCTTCAAAGCAGACTAGAAATATGGCCAGGTTAAAGCACTTCAGCTGCAAATAGGGTGACTACCAGGAAGTAAGAACAAGCCAGGCCAAGTTAGCCCAAGTCCCCTCGGTCCTTGAACACCCGTCTCCTGGCACTCTCACCGTTCAGGGGTCTTAGAAGCAATAGAAATGGCGTCTTGCTGTCTTTAAACAAAAGGTGATTGCTGCAAGGCTCTCTGGGACTTGGTGAGTCTCAGGAACTATTTGGAACAGGAATGGCCCTGCTGACCTCTGTGGAAGGAGGATGCCAGGCAGGGCCCTCAGAACAGTCTGCAGGCTTCCTGTGGTGCTCCCAGGGTCCAGGATGATGCCTCAGGGCCACGGCCAGCTGGCCAGGTTGCAGGAGCTCAGTGGCCGTGCAGCTCGTGTTCTCAGACAGCTCTGGCTCAGTGGCAGGGCAGTCTGAAGTCACATAATGGCTTCAGGTTCTGAAAGAAAGGGGAGAGCTGGGGGCTGCTGAGAGCTTCCTGCCTCCACCAGCTTCACGAAGGCTCTTCTCTGGATCACAGGGAAAGGGCGCTGATTGCTGCCTAGATAGGTCTCCAGAGGGCGGATGTTCCTGGGCCCGGCAGGAGCACCCTGTGGCCCAGAACCGCCTGCCGGAACACCTTTCCTGGACTTTGTATTTAGGGGTCCATTCGAGGTTTGTTGCAGCACCCCTCAGTGCTCAAGGGCTAGTGCTGTCTGTCTCTGGGGTATGGGGGTGGGTGGGGGTATAGTCATATACTTTCTGCAAAATAATCTCTCAACCCATGCCATGCCCAACTCAGGTTTCTAATGTCCTGAAAGGGGCACAGAATTTTCACCTTTATTTCGAACACCACATCCTTTCTACTCTGGCCTAACATACACATAATGAGCCTTTTAAAGCACACAGGTCTAAGCAATTGATGTCGTATGTGACTGTTACCATCATCATCTCTAGAACTTTCTCTTATCAATACAACTCTGTCCCCCTTAAACACTGACTCCTCTCCCTCCTTCATTCAGTCCCTGGCAACATCTCTATGAATTCGGGACTCTAGGTCCCTCCTGAGCAGAGTCGCAAGCACTTGCCGTTTTGCCTGGCTCATTTTCACCTGGCGTAATGACCTCAAGGGCCAACCATGCTAGAGCACGTGTCAGAACTTCCCTGCTTTGAAGGCTGAAGAGTGTTCCATTGTATGCACACACATCTGTCTGTCTGTCTATCCATCTGGGTACACCTGGCTGCTTCCGCCCTTTGGCTATTGTGAATGATGTTGCCGTGAACACAGGGTGCAGGTACCTTGTGGAGTCCTAGTGTCAGTACTCTTGGATCTTCAGAGGCCTTTATGCCACTTAGGAGAAGAAGGTAACTATAGGGAAGGGCTTCCCAGACTTTCATGATATGGCCTCAGAGGGAATGTTCGTCTGGCTGGGTTAAATGGTGGTGATGGAGGTGTCTGAACCAGGATTCTGATGCCCAGCCTCTGCCTTCACGCACCCGGACACACTGGGTGGGGGCCCTCTGGGCAGCCAGCTGCCCCAGTTTGAGAGCCCACACTGCCACTGGTACCTATCATGCAGAATCTCCAGGAGGGGTGACAGCTAAGGTGCACTTTAGGGCTCTCCCCCGACACCCATCTTGGGAACCTGACCCTCTACATGACCCTGACCCTCTATATCTCCATGAGATGCACAGGATCTCACAGCCTGGGCCACAGCCACCTGGAACAGTGTGGAACGTTACAGACATGGGCAAATCAACTTCTCTGTGAAGCCAGAATTAGGTCAGGACATGAGGCAGGTGAGCAGGGGGAGTCCAGAGAGAAGACTGTGTGAACTTAGGGGCCAGGATGCTGCCTGGGGACACAAGGAGAACCCAGTGTGAGCTCAGTGGGTAACCACCTGCAAAGGAACAGAAGGACTGGGGGCCGGCAGCAGAGCTGAGCAGACAGAACCTGGGGGAGAAGAAGCAGGAGGGAGGGAGAGGGGCAGGCTGCCTCAGGATGAGGGCTTCTGGGGCCAGGACAGTTCTGCATGTCATTTTCACCATTACCAGTTCTATCTTCACAGGAAGAGTCCCCTTCTCCCAGGCAGCCCACCTGCCTTGCTAGTGCCGGAAGGCAAGGGACAGTTGTGGGAGAGCCTGAGCTCCAGGCCTACGTGGGACCTTTGTAGTGGCAAGTGACAATGTGGGCACTAAGATCACACTTAGCACTTCTTTTTCAAATATTTTATTAATCTGTTTGGCCAAACGGGTAATGGAAACTGAGAATAATAATTTGCTAAAAAGTTCAGGTCATGAATGCCCCTTCCCCCCGGAAACAAAAGACTCCATGGTTACAGAATGCACCATTGGGTTATGACAACGTTTCAAAATAATGCTTCCATTTCATAGATAACAATGTAAACTTCAAAAATAGTAAACTCTAACCCCCATCCCTCTTTACAAATCTATCACAGATAGAATTGTCTGGCAGACCTAAGTTGTGTAAGTAAACAGCCTGGTGCTTAAAATTTCATAAAAAGGTTTGCAGATTCAGTAAATAAGTTTTCAGTCTGGTCTGGAAGTAAAAGCCACCGGCGGCTCTCTTTCCACATGGTCTACCTTAACACGCACGTTGTGCCCCTCCAACCAGGCTTCACGGACATTGGTCACCAGCTTTGTCATTTTTTTGGAACACACACATATAGTTTTTTTTTTTTTCTAAAGATTTTACATCTAAATTATAAGACGGCGCCAGTGACTTAGAATGTCACCTTGGGTCACAAAGGTAAAGACAAAAATTCTGTAGAAGGCACTGTAAATCCTCCTGCATGATCTATGAAGACACGAGAGAGCAGGCCAGCAAGGGCTGGGCTTCCCTTTCCCCTTCGTGACCTGGTACAGACCTGTCCTCTGATGGTTGTCATGTCCATTATCCTTTTCTGCTTCACTTCTTCCGATGCCATTGTCCCATCTACCCATCCTGCCACCCATCCACTCACCCATCTACCCATTCACCCATCCACGTAATCAACCCTCTACCCATTCACCCTTCTGTCCATCCGTCCACCCAGCTACCCATCCACTCATCTTCCAGATTAACTGATAGTTGTCTTTTGGTTCATTGAAATTCCTTAAAATTAAGAGTACAGCTCTGGTATAAAACAAAATATGACCTACTATAGCTGAAAAATAATCACAGTGTACAATGTCATTTTCAGTTGCTAAGATTCGAAACATTTGCCCTGGCTTGTTAAGCACACCTGTTGTCAGAAACAATCAATACAAGGCTCATGGTGACCCACTTTACATTCATTGGGAAAGCGCTGAGGTTCCTTCTCTTCCTTATTGAATCGGTGCCCTTGAGTGAAGGTCTGATGTGGAAAAGTGCAAGCAAATTGGACATGCCAATAAATACCGTAGGACTTACCGCAGTTACCAAAACTGTACAGGTATGTACACCTTACCCAACCGAGGCTCCTCCTGTCAGGGACAGGCTTCCAAATCATCACCGTGGGGGCAGCCCCAGAGTCCCAGAAGAGAGGCCCTAGCGCGCAAAGGAAGGGCGAGCTCTCCTGCTCCTGTTCTGGGGTCCTGAGCCCAGGTCAGCCCCGCCCTCCACTGTCTCCTCCTTCTTCCTCACTTTGAGGTGGGTGAGCAGCTTGATCAACCAGACGTCCCACTCCTCCGGCAGGAGCAGCAGGAGGAAGCCCAGGCCGATGATGATGATGGCGATGACCCGGACCCCGTTGAAGACAATCTGACTGGTGTAGTGATCAACCACTGTGGGAGACAGAGCACTGGTTACTTGGCAGCAGGAGTGTCCTTCCTCCTGGACCATAGAATGCTCCTGGTAGGATTCACTCCAGGAGGCTGGGGTGGCCTCTAGTATATCACCTGAACTTTCCCAAACCCTGTTCTGAGCCTTGCACTGAACTTCACTTCCAAGACTGACTTGGCATCTGAGTTAAAACACTGATTTTTGTGTGTTTAAAAAATAAATAAGGCCAGGTGCAGTGGTGCATGCCTTTAATCCCAACAGCTCCGGGGACTGAAATAGGATTGCAAGTTCAAAGCCAGCCTCAGCAACAGCAAGGCCTTAAGCAGCTCAGTGAGACCCTGTCTCTAAATACAAAATAGGGCTGGGGGTGTGGCTCAGTGGTGGAGTGCCCCTGAGTTCAATCCCTGGTACACTCCCCACTCAAATCAATCAATCAATCAATCAATCAGGGGAAGTTGGAGATATATATGTATTTAGATGGAAATACAGCAAAGCTTTGTTGTGGCTGCCTCTGGGTGTGAGGATAATGAAAAGTACTGCTTTCTTTCTATTTTTGGTACTTTTCACAGTGTCTATAATGACATGCTTTATTTTTATAATTTAAAAACATTAATTTACAATCCATGCATTGTATGTACATATGTATCTACACACACGCACACACATGCACACACACATAGGTTTTGAAGATCAAGATGATAGATGCAAACTCCTGTTATGCAGTGGGCGTCACTTGTGCCTGTGGTGTCCTTGCTGTCCAAGCACAGGGCTCATCCTGACACACATCCGGTGAGAGGACAAAGCGAGAAGTGGGTTCACCTCAGCTCCTGAAGCTCCGACGATCCTCCCCTTCCCAGTCTGATGGTGCTCAACTACCCTGCGCTGTTGGGGCCTCCATTCCTATTTTGGGCTTCTCTGTCCTCTTCCTAGACTGGGCACATTTGGAGTCTGCTTTCCCCAGGGCATGCTGCCTGACCCACCCAGGAGAGAGATGTGCACACTTCACAACCAAAGTTTGTGTAAACAGACTCCCTGGACAACTATCCACCCCCCCGGCACTGGGGGCTCATTCCTCTGCTGTCACCCCTCACTTGCTCCACTCCCTCACCCCCCTCCTTCTTCTCCCTCCCTGGCCCCCACTACATCTAGCAGGTGATTAGAGAAAGAGTAAGAAGAATGAAAGCTAAACCTGAAAAAAACATTCTAGTGCCTTTTTATGGAATAAGATGACACTTTTATCCCACCATAATTCAGAAATACTTTGATGCCAGCAAAGCGTTCTGCTGATTCACAGGGGGTGGGGCAGTTCCCCCTGCCAGTCTCATGGGCAGACCTCTGGGGGGTCCTAAAGGCAGGTGACGGCTCTTCTCTGAGAAGCTCCTAATCAGCAGGTTCTCCTCCAATAAGGAATTGGTTTCCTCTGCTGACCCCTTATTAAACCTCTCATGTTGCAGTTAGTCATATGAAATGATTCTCACTAATCTTGCGAACACCTGCTCTGGGATGGGACCTGAGTAAGTTTTAGGTAAGACTCACCTAAAACATGCCTTTTGCCATAAGAACCTCATATGCCTATAAATTAAAGATGCAAAGAATGGAGGGGCTGTTGACAAAGTGCCCTTCAGAAGCTGGTGCCCCTGGACTGCTTCTCTGCCAGGAGCCCAGGTGCTGCTGCATCTTCAAGTACCGTCTCATGGATTATTCCATCTGACCCCCGTATGGACTGAAGGAGCCGGGGGAGGCATGGCCTTTATTTGTAGGGGAGACAATGAGCTAAGGCCCAGAGAGCTGATGAGTGGGGACCACTGAACCCCAGAGGGGCTATGGTGGTGCAGGGCTGAGCCCAGTGTTCTGCTGCCTCCTGCAGGCCACACGACACTGCTGCCAAGTGGCTCTCTGGAAAGTGCTGGGGCCTCGGTGAGGCATGTACAGAGCTCATGGGTCAAGGTGGTGAGGCTGAGTCACAGGGACAGGCCCAGGAACTGAGAGCTGATTGGCTTGCACTGGTACAGGCTTGGTTCCCAGGAAGTCTGGCCCTCTGGGGCCTGGACATGGAGCATTTGGGAGACACTTTAGAGGAAGCTGTGTCAGGGCTGAGGAAGTGAGTATTCTGGAGAGGAAGGAATCAGGGCTCTTCCAGGCTGGGAGCAGGTGCAGAGGGAGGTCGGGTGAGAGGCCAGGAGATCCTGGGAAGAAACCCCCAAATCCAAACCAGTGTGAGGCAGGCAAAGGAAGGAGGTGAGGCAGGCGAAGGCGGGTGGCCATGGCCCCAGGACTATGCAAGACGGAGGACTCTCTTTCTTCCAGGAGGTGGAGGACAACAAGGTTCCCGCCTCTTCAGCTGGACAACAGTTTTCTATGTCACACCCTGAATAAATTTTCTCCTCCAGAAAATCACTTGCAAAAATTAAATTTTTCTGCTACATAATTTTCTGTCTATGAATAGACTGATGATATTCATCTCTGCTCCCACACCAGTTAGAATGGAGACAGTTCTAGGGGTTCTGTATCTTGGTGTGGCACGTGAACATCAAGGAGACAGCATGCAGACACAACAAGCATCAACATTTTACCTAAGTGCTTTTTTTCTTTGCAGAAGGTTGAACATGTGTCCTAGACCAGGCCCAGCAAGAATATATATGAGAATATGTGTGTAAACCCCTGAATCCAACTGTGTGTATGTGATCGTGACAAGTAAATGTAGAAACTCATGCATATAGTTTTACCTGCGTTTACAGGTACACTGAGGACAATTCCAAGAGACATCAGAGTGGGATACGTCACGGCAATTCCAAAATTTAATACAATATTGAATGCTGAAATAATTTAGAAAATAGGAGTTACAAATATACTTGAAGCCCTGCAGTGGGCCTTCCCGCTGCCTGCCTGACCCAGTTTCTCTGATGACCCTTTGCTGGGACCCAGTGAATTTGGGATGAGTTACAAGCATCCTGACCACTTAGCCCCCTCTTCCCTGAGCTCTGGGGAAGGGAAAGGGAATTCAGAAAGGTGACCAGTGAGGAGGCTGGAAAAGGCCCTCTGACTGGCTTTGCTTTCCTGGTTTGCTGGAAGTACTTCTGGGACAGATGTATGGGCGGGGGCTCTGGGATGGGGTTTTGCCTGCCTTGATGTCACTGCCCATTGAGGGACAGTGATTAGGAAGATGACATCAGCAATAATGCCGACTGATCTTATTCACTGAGCACCGACACCTAAGCCGGCACTAGGAGCTCCACTGGCACCGCCTTACCAACCCTTACCGCTTACTACTCATAGGTCATGGGCAAGGCCCTGGGCTTACTGCTCAGAGTGCCAGTGGCCACTGTTGCTCTCACAGTGTCTGCGGTTCTGGAAAGATGCACTTTATGAAATGCAAAGACCTTGAAAAGCAGCCAGGACACTGGGATAGCAAAAAGCACTGTGTTCCTGATTTAGGATGCAGGTTTCCACGGGGTCCTGTCCGTCCTTCATGGTTTTCTGGGGGTTTTGGACAGGGTGGTGACCACTTACTCAATAAGAGGACTGAAAATCCACAAAGGTTTCCCCATGGAATGTCATCAAAGGAGCTCCAGTATTCCACCTTGGTGAAGTAGAGCAGGATGGGGATGCAGGTGATGAAGATGATGTTAAACACACCCAGAATGGACAGGAACAAGGCGGCTTCCCCGAACTTGGCACTGCCTAGCAGGAGCTTGAACAGAACCTGCAGGAGAGAGAAGCAGGTGAGGGCCCCCTGAGACCCCAGGCCTGTGTGAGCAAAGCGGCACACCTGAAAACCGGGTTGCCCATGTCTCAGGACAGCTCTACACCCCTGAGAGGTCCGTGAAGGGCGATGGGCCTGTGCACTCCCATCTCAGTGGTGCAGAGATGGACAGTCTGGGTCCACCGTGAGCATCTCTACTGTTCCCAGGTCTTCACACTAGGTTTGAATGCTCATGACACCACATCAAGTGGAGCTACCCTGCCGTGGTGACACATCCTCTTATTAGAGGCCCTAAAACTGATCCCTGCCCCTGGGCAGCAGGGTTCAACAATCACTGCCTCCAACCCCTCAGAAGAGCTTTGGCTATAGGGAAATTTTCTCTAAGTTGAAGTGGAGGGATTCTGCTCATCTGTGGCCTGATCGCCACCCCCATGACAGAGTGGCATGGGTTTAGTGGAGTCACGGACTCTTACTTCCTGCCCTGCTTGTTCAGCATCCCAGGCACAGAAGCCGGGAGAAGAGGCACAGAGGTGGCTGGAGTGGCCAGACTCCATCCAGCCTGCTTGGTGCTGTGGGTCCAGTTTGAGTCCCTGCCTTGCATTGCTGTCCCTGCACCTGCTGTTTCTCCTTGCAAGCCATCCACAGCCACAGGTGCAGGAAGTACAGAAAGGGGAAGGATCAGCTCCCAGCCTCCCCTGCACCCCCTAGCTGAACTCCGGGCAGTGGGGGAGACAGAGGAGATGGAGGCCTCCCTGCAGATGGCCTTTTTGCACACTCTGCTCCTCGTGAGCGTGCAGCTCATTGGCCAGAGCACAGCATGGCCTTCTAATGTTTTCTGCATTGGGACAGTGGTGGTGAATTCTCAGAATGATGCTGCGCTATCACACCTATTTCAGTGACGTGTGCCCCCGTGGGCAGCTAGGGCAGAGAGCTGATGGATTAGCATATAAAATCACTTCTCTTTCCACAAACCACAAGGCCTGGCACTCAGCACAGGGACCATGTCTTCCTTGTGACTTTCTATACTACTCCATTCTCTGCCCTACTGTCTGCAGAGTCTCAAAGCTGAGTCCTCCAGGCCAGGCTCCCAGCTGGGAGGCCTGAAGAGGTTTGCATTCTTTACTACACGTCTGAGGAGGAGGCAGAGGGAGCAAGGATGATGGGCAAAGAGCAGCCTGGAGGCTTGAAGGAATTGGGGTGGACACGGCGAGGGACCCTGGTGTGGGAATAAAATTGTTGCCTCTAGACCTGCAGCAGGGAAGGGCTTTCTAGGGGTTCCCGCCATTGTGTGGAGAATCTTAGTCCTACCACAGCTCTGAGCTTGTGTTTGTTGAGCCCACAGATGATGACTAAAACACCTGGGGACTCATGCTGAACACTCGTGATATGGTCAACATTCACGTGATAAAGCTGCTCCAGGTCTGCACGTCCAGCCAGCTTGGAACTTATCTGAGCAAACATGAGCCAGGCTAGAGGGCCCCCACCCTTATCTGGACCGGTGACAATAAAGTTGCAAATCTGCAGATCCAGCCAGTGCCAATCATTTCATCCCAAATGCTGCAAACATGTACCACTGATAGAAAGGCTCAGAGGGCCAACGCCAACAGCAACTTTCTGCCTTGAGGTCCCCACCTGCCTGGGGTGCACCAAGAACAAATGCCTTTCAGCAGTATCAGTGCCACCCAGGGTGCCAGAGAGTGGAGGCAGCACAGGAAACCAGCCTGCTAGGAGGAGTCAGGCCAGCTGGAAGCTCATCCATGCTACCTTGTAGAGGGCCGACATGGACGCAGAGCCCACCACCAGGGCTATGCCGATGACAGAGTGGCTGTGGAATCCGTCAGCATAGGTCATCATCACAATGCCGGCAATGGCCAGGATGGCAGCCACAATCTGGATGGGAGGAAGAAAACAGTGGTCAGGACAGCAGGGGGACCAGGCAAGGGCCAGTGAGCTAGAAAGTCTTCTGGTGTTGGACCAGAGGGAGGGAGGCTGTCCCCACCTCGGGCCTCCAGGGAGCAGCAGGCAGAGGCTGCTCATCGGCACTGGCTCTGCTTGGAGGGGCACTTGACAAAGCTCGGCCTGGCCAGAGGACCTGAGATGGGGCAGCCAGGAGTAGTCACGTGGTTTAGCCTCAGGCCATGGCTGTCACTGCAATTCTTGGAGACCTAGTGATCCTAATTCTGGTGACAGGTTATTTGGCCATAATGAGGCTGGGGAGACAATCTGGAGTGTCACCTGGAAGCACCCTGAGTTCTCTCCCATCTTCTCGAATGCCTCATGTGACTTTGCTTTTGTGTTTTCATACTCAGCAGGGAAGGCATAGTGGGGACAGTGAGTCTTGTTCCCACTCTACACGCCAGCCCCAGGGCCCGAGGGAGCACCACCTAGGTCCTAGGCTGTAGGTGCAGCTCCTCCTTAGTAGTGCCCCACCCCCAGCTCCCTCTCTATGCTCCTGTTGAGACACAGACTTCTGGGATTGCAGGGGAGCTCTCTGGAGATAGACACAGTGCCGCTGGTAGACCACGGCTGTCCTAGGAAACAGTCCACCTGGGAGTCTTCCCAGCCGAGGGCCACTCAGCCACAGGGATGGGGAGGTGCTGTCCGTGGAGCAACAGGGGCCTAACCACTGGATTTGCCAAGAGTTCTGTCCCTCTTACAGATGTTTCAAAACTGCCTTGAGCGGTCCAAAGCAATGTCGCATGGCTGGGGTTTACACCAGTAAGAGTTTTCTATGTCTTTCCTCACCTTACCCTCATGTTAGGTAGATAGCATCTTTCATCTCCTTTTATAGTCATGAAAACCTAGGTACAGAGAGGCCAGGTAACCTGCCCAAAGTTGCATAGGTGGTGTGCAGGCACAGCTGTTGCTCAACAACAGGACTGTGTGATTGGCATGGCAGCAGCTGCTGCCAGCTGCTCTCAGCTTTGAACTGAGGCTTCCTTTGTGGCCGAAAGACAATTCTTAGGTGAGTGGAAGGTGGTGGTTGAGTCTCACAGCATGTCTGAGTCACACACTTCTGTGGCAAACTTCATGCAGTCTTTTCATGTAATTCTATTTTGTCCATAAAACATGGGTCTTAGGCAGCTGGTGACTATCAGATCCCGGAGGAGCTCAGCCCTTGTTCTTTCTGGCTTAGTTTACTGGTAGTCGGCTGCTTTGTTCTGCACCCTGTATATGCACTATATTTCATATTCAAATGCTACATGGCCTGCGGATAACTATCCAAAGGGAGAGAGAAGCAGAGAGAGCAAAACAATATGTGACCAGTTGGAGAACAAGAAAGGGACAGGTGGAAAAGCAGACAGGCACTGGGGTGGGCTCTGTCCCTAGGACCCATGCAGAGAGAAGATACTGCTGGGACAGTTCCCCCCTGGCTGGGCATCAGAGGTACCAGCAAGAATTCAGAAAAGAAGGAAGAGCTGGAGGGAAGAGCGGCCAGGTTTCGTGCCATTTGGAGTGTCTCCCCAACCTGCAGCAGAAGTGTGGGGGTGAAGGAGGGCAGGGGCAGCCTTTTCTGAAGCCTTGTGCCCTCTCTTCTTTGCTGATTAAGTGATAAACAGCTAAAGCTTTTCCCCAGGTGGGACTGAGCAGAGGGCCTGGGCCAGGGCCGGAGGGCTCAGAAGTGAGAATGAGGTGGCCACCCTGATTTAGTCAGCAGAGGAACAGACACCAGAGTGGTCCCCGAGCCCTGTGGGTTTACTCTGACACGTAGCACTGGGGACAGTGACCTCCTGGTGTTCCCAGCCACAAGACATGGGCCTACAGACTCCCACTATCTGGGCCTCAGTAGCCCTCTGTGGGGAGCCTTCAGCCAAGTACTCGCAGCACCTCTCAGGGCAGAGCCGAGGTGGGAGCCTGAGTCTCCCTCTGGCCTGGAGTCCCTTGGCAGAGTGTGGGTGTGTCTCAGGAAGCTGGGCCTTTTTTGCACCTAATACCTAAAGTATCTGTTCACCTGTGGAAACACTTCCCTGAGGTCCCATGCACCTGCGCACACCTCTGCACCTGCCCCCACCCAGGACGCTGTCTGTGTACAGATAAGGCTCCTCATGCCTCCCTTCCTTCCTGTCCCCTGCCCCCATGACACCCCCCACTGAACTGTCCTAAATTGACAGGCAGAAGCGGTGCCCAGCCTGGCAGGCCAGGGCCACCCTGTCTACTTCATCCGGGCATGATAGCTGAAGATGGGAGGAAGTGCAGGCCAGATGTCTGTCCTCAGGGTGGCTGCCCTGGGTGGGCCCTGTCGCCAGGGCAGGGATCTGAGTTCTGGGACTTGGGCTGAAGGGAAGCGAGGGAACCACCAGTCTCAAGGAGGAGCTGAGGGTAACTGGTACTACACTGTTGGACCTGGTCACTTTTTAGGCCAGGGCTGCCGCTAGGCTAGCTGCAGCTATGGTGGGCTGCACACTCCATGCCAAGCAGAAGCCATTGGGAAGCTTTTTAGTTTGGGGCACTTTTGCAAAAGGGAAAGAAGACTAATTTTTAAATGCACTTTCCCAGCACTGGCCCTCCTCGCTCTAGGAGTGTTCTTACTGACTCAAAAAACATCAGTGTTTGGGGGCAGCTGAGTGACCCTCTGTCCACCCCTGCTCCCTGCCCTCTGAGTCCTCCCACTCTGGGCTCAGGGCTCAGGGGACAGACCCCCCTACACACACACACAGAAGGGAGTCAAGATCAGATGCTGGAGTTAGCATCCAGGATGACCCTCTGTGAGTACTTAGCACATCTGGATTGAAAATGCCAGCTGGAATCTGTTTGAGATGGGAACTGATCATGGAAAGAAGGTGCTACCGGCTCAGGGCCTCCGTAGAGGACCTCTTGGCCCAACCTCTTGCCACACAAAACTCCCTAAGGGTTCTCCACCTTCTGGCACTGGCCAGAGAATTGGGCAGATCCACCCACCTCTTCTACTTGAGAGGGTCTAAGAACAACATTGAGAAAGCATTTACTGAGTTTTATGAGCCTTATTTTATTCTCACAACTGTTCTATTAGTGGTTACATTCTGCTGACTTTAAAAACCAGGTCATCTAAGGCTCAGAGATGTTTGATAACCACCTCGAGGTCCAACAGCACATAGGAGCGGAGGCACGCCCCACAGCCTTATCACCTGACTCTAGCCAGAGCAGTTCACTACCACATGAGAACCTCTGGCCTAGGTCGCACGTGAAAAGCACACCTACACCAGAGCCAGAAGCACAGGAGGCCAACTGCTCATACAGACACCTCTGCAGTTTCTGGTCCTCTGGTGCCATAAGTGGCCAGGGTCCCCAGCATTATGAGGCCCATCTGTCTGTGTGGCCTCCACCCACCGGTGCTCTCCTGCAGCGGAAGCCTTGATGACCGAGCAGCTGTCCATCACAGTCTTCTGCATACCCGACTCCCCCAAGAGGCTGGGCCTCAGCTATGTCTCTCTTGCCAGTGCAGCTGGCTCTCAAGCTCAATGCTCAGCCCCTGCGATGGAGGCCAGCTCAGCTCCTTTCTGTCTTTGGAATTTGCCCTGTGGAAGGTGCTAGCTAACCCAGAAGTCTGAGCGAAGTCTAAGACACTGGGCACCACTTAGAAATCATCTTGGACCAACATTGCCATGTGTTTATTGGGGCCAAACTTCCATCGTGCAGATGTGGCCAGCTTCCTGGGCTGTTTAAGGAGGGCAGGTGGGAATGCTGTGAAACCTGAAGGGGGAGGCTGTTTGGTGACTGGCCCTGGACTTCTAAGAGGAGACTGAGACTGCACTGTGTTGGCAAGTTACAAGGTCCCAACATCGATGCCTGACCCTGTGGGCCTGCATGTCTGTGCCAGCCTAGAGCTGAAAGTCTGCAGGACACAATTGTGGTTTGCAGCAATCAACACAGATCCAAGTGCTCAAGTGGCCACCAGGCCAGAATGTAGCATAGTGCAGGTGTGCTGGGGAGCCCCCACCCAGGAAGAGCAATAAAGAAAAGGACTGCCAGTGCCCACTGCTCTCTTCGAGGCTGGGAGCAGCTCGGGCTCTTCTGCACTTCCTTTCCTTAACCTCAGAAAGGTTGTTTTCTTCTGCCAACTTCAGAATTCACCTCCAAGCTTCTCTTCCCAGTGAGGTGGTCTCATTGGGAATTTGCTTAGGACATCTGAATTATGCCAAGAGTTCCATGAATCACCTTGGCTCTTTGCATCACAATAAAGTCACGAAGGGCATCTGAGTCTTCAGTGTCAAATCCAGAGGCCTTGGGGTAAGTTACTGCGGGAAGCACCTGCAATTCTTGCCGAGATGTATTAGATCATTTATTTGTTGAAGGCTTTTCTGGGTGGTAGCCCAGGGAGTGAGTTTTTATTCCAAAATTAACACGAAGCCTCAAAACAAATTCTCCCCCTACTGAAAGCTAAAAATACAACTGAGCAGTTGACTCATGTCCCTGATGCTGTTTGAGTAACTTAGGTGGGCGTGAACCCACCGAAGGGTGATGTCTCTGTTCCCAGGACGGTGAGGCAAGGACAGAGGTGGAGGCCTCTGCCCCCACTGGTTGCCAGCATGGCTCACTCTAGTGGGGCTGCCATCAAACTGGCTCTTGGCTTGGAGGCGGGAGGCAGGAGGGATGCGCTCTAACTGGGAGAGCACTAGCAGCAGGGTCAAAGCTGTCTGGTTTGTGACAAGCTGATGATGGGCAGTAGCAGCTCCTGACCACCAGAGGGAGCAGGCAGAAGCCATTAGGATTCTGACCAGGCGAAATGTCACCAGCTCCTTTTACTGGGGCAGGTTGCTCTGGGTTTCAGCTGGCATTTGATAGCACATTTGTCATACTTCATACAGCCGTTGTGCACTCTGACTGGCTTTGAATGCAATGAGAGGCGATCTAGGGCTTGCGATTTCCCTTGCCCTTCGCCTGTGGCACAAAGGAAGTGAAATCACCCTCTAGTTGGACTTCACACAAGTGTGTCTCGCTCACTTGGGGTGCAGACACATGGGCCAGGCATGGGCAAGGACGCTCACACTCGTGGGCACTCAAAGGTCCTCTGGGTTTCAGATGCATCCTAACCAGAGAGTGCTGGTGTTGGCAGGAAGCTCCAGGCTACAGGGCACAAGTCACCATGCCATGTGCGGCAGCCTGGAAAGCCACCATGGAGGGGGAGGTGAGCACGCAGAGAGCAGAGCACATCGCTGTTCCCAGGCTGAGCCCCGGACTGGCACGTACTTTAGGGAATGCTTGAAATGAAAGGTGCTTTAATGGAAGCTCATCTAGTATGGTTTGCAAGCAAGAAGGTTTGCAAGGCACACCGTGAACCAGCCCTGCCAGGCTCCTGTTCTGCTGCGAATCAGAAGGATGGTAGTCAGCAGCTAATGATCATGGTCCAGCACATGGAGCTAAGCAAGCCAATGGGCAGGTTTGGCTGACATGACTGAGTGAGGGGGAAGACAGATAATAAGGAACTTACCCTCACTCCCATGAACCTGTCCCTGAGAACGATCCATGAGAGCAAGAACACAAAAGCTTTGTTGCAGCAGAACAACACCGACACATCCGTAGTGTTTATTTTCTTTATTGCATGTAAGTACAGGTAGTTTGTGAGTGTCCAAAGAACACCAAAAGGGGCTGCCTTGGTAAAAAACACCTTCAAAGTCAAGCCATTGTCTCCAAAAAATCGACAGCATTCCCTAAAACAAGGAAAGAGAGGCAGTGTTATTACAGTCCTGGGTTGAGGCAGACCATTTTCCCCCCTATACTCAATTTTTCTTTTTCTCTCTGTTTTTAGAAAATATGGCAAGGTCTTTTAATTTATTATCATTTTAAACAAACATCTTTCCATTACAGCTCTTGGACCTATAGCTTTATTCTGTTATAAAACGTGGCACAGTGACCTGATGTCACAGAAGAGTCCTTCTATCTAGGTGATGTTTGGAAAGGATGGTTCTACACAGAAGGGATGTTGGGATTTTCTCACCTGGAGACCCAATTCCATGGTGTACCATCTTGGAGAAAAGGGGGCAGACAACACCCTGCTCTAAGTGCCCCCTCCTTGTTCCCCAAAACCTAGCTCATGGAACAACCTTAGAGTGGCCTGGGCCTGAAGGTCCACACGTGCTGTCTTGAAGGACAAGGCTCCCCCTGCACGCTGGGAATCAGGCAAGCCACTGTCATCTGTAGAAAGCTGCTTCCCTCCACCTGCACCAGGACAGTTACTCCCTGGGGTGCTGGTCAGACAAGACCCTAAGCAAGCTCCTGCTCATGATGTCACAGCTTCTGCACCTGACATGTGAAACCCTCTGTCAAAGGGATGGGTGTGGAGCTGAGGGCACTGTGGAAGGGTACGGGTCACTCCTCCAGCTGGCTGCCACTGAACAGAATGTCACAGGGGGAGGAGGCCCTGCTTGGTGCAGCAGTGAGGGACAGAAGTGCCATCTGTTCAGCAGTCACCACTGGACCTTCCCCTGTGTGTTTCTCAGGAGCATGGGCCTCATGAGCCCCCTTGGGGTATTTTCTTTGGTCTCCGGGGAACCCTTCCCACTGCCCTGGCACAGCTGCTCCGTGGACAAGGCACATGGTGAGTGACTGACTGATCTCATCTTTGTGTAAGAGAAGGAGTCACAAGAATTTATTTTGGGGGCTGTGAAAGAAGATGGTTGTTGTGAACATTAGCCCCTGGAAATGTCATTCAGTAAGGCAGGTTGTCACTTCCCAGGCACAGGAAGGTATTCTGGCTGTGATATGAAGAGGAATTACTACCTGCGTATTTTCTCCACGAGGCCAAGTTTAGAGTGCTTAATCCACCATGTGGAACCAGGAGGAGCAAGCACATCCAGGTTAGTGCCTGAGGGGAAGTCACACTTGTAGAAGGAGGCTTTCTCAGGCCACTGCAGATTCTCCAGGAGGGATCACTGGCATTTGGAAAAGTGTTTAAGAAAAATTGAGCCAATGCTCCACATGCAGAAGGAGGCTGTGGGAGCTTTGGGGTCACACACGAGGAGAGCCTTCAGGGCTTGGTCTCAGGGGACTGCCTGATTCCCCAGCTGTCAGGAGCACAGAGCCTTGCTCTGGTGGGGCCTGAGGGCAGATGGATGAGTGAGGACACCTGGCCCCTTGGAGAGGCCCATGCAGGCTCACAGCCACGGTATGCCCAGCCAGAGTGAGTGGTGGAGGCCAGCTGGGCACTGAACGTGCCAGCCTCCCTGAACGTGCACAAGAGCAAAAGAAGAGCCACTACTGGAGAAAACCAAATACACTAAGGTAGGAATGGTCCAGCCTTGGCCTCTTATTACAATCCAGTGTTCAAAGAGGAAACTTAAGAATAAGAGTCAAAGGATATTTGCTGATATTTTAAATTTGTTCTTACTATCAATCCAAAGTGAAAAATTTTATTCATACCTCACCATGAGGTATCCACAGAAGAAACAGAAAACTCATTAGGGAACGAGGAGAGGGCCTGGGCAGAGGAAACACCGTGTGTGTGGAACCTGCCTCAGTTCTGCCACCCTTGCTGTGCTGATCTCAACCAGTCAGCACCAGGAAGAACGGTTGTGGTCACTAAGTCCATCAAGAAACCAGTTCAGAGAGTGGCTCCCATTCTGGCCTGTGTCTGTGCAGCCGCCCTGTGGCTGATGGACCTGCGTTCCTGTCTGCTGTGAAGCTCTCCTGCAGCACCTCAACTGCGGTACCTGCCTTTATTTGCAGAGAAGTCTTTGCTCCCAAGAGAGAGGAAGGATGGCTTCCTTCATGCCTGTGATTATGGTCTGTAAGTGATGCCAGTCCCTTGGGTAGGACCCAGGAGCACAAGTACTCTTTCCTGTCTAATGACAACCAGTGTCAGCTCTATTTCGAGGTTCCCCTTTGAAAGGAAAACTGTGAATAGGATTTCCAGGTCCATCTCATTGGCTCCTATAAAAATTAATTCATATTGCACAGGGGCCCTCCAAACCAGTAGGACAGCTTACTTCCTGTCTGAGAATCCGCATCTTACTCCTGTAGAACCTGGTGGTTGGAGGCAGGGGAAGGAGGAGGCGGGCAGAGACGTGGTTCAGGGCTGACTGCCCCAGCCAGGAGCAGGAGAACAGTGGGTGTCCCATCCTGAAGTGGAGGGCACAAGACTTCTGGACCTGGCATGGCTCTGTTGGATCCATGAGGACTCCTGCCAGGAAGTGACAGCTCAGCTTGGGGATCTTGGTTCTAACCAGACCAAGATGCCTGGCCCCTTCAGGGTCACGGAGACTGAGCACTAAGGGGAGTCAGCTGGCTGTCCTGTGCATACCCTTGTTTGCAAGGGGACCCAGGAGAGGTGATAAGCTCAGATCTACTTCTTCCAGGGCTGCCTGTTGCTATGCAAAGACTAGAGTGCCGTCAGCGCTGTCCCGACGGACTTCCACTCAACCGACTGCACAGCTGAATGTCCTTTGTTCTTTGCACTCAGTGATGCCCTGGGCCGGCTGGAGGCCAGAGGCTGCCAGGCTGCTCTCCACCAAGCCCTTCTGGTCCTATAACTGGGTCAGAGGCCAGTCTATATTCAGACATGTTTGTTTACAGTCCTGCGCATGCCAATTGTTCTTGGTATTTAAGCTGCATTGTTCAATTTAATATTTCATGAACCAAAGAAATATGAGTGAGAAAGGAAGGGCTTTTACTATGAAATCTAAGTTGATAGCTTTGAGGAAGACAAAGAAAGCAGGCACTGAAATACTGCAACTGCGTCATGTAGAGAACTGTGGTTAGGTAGGAAGGTCTGCAGAGGTCTGTAAGTCCCGTGCCCCTGTAGCTGACAGATACTGATGCTCCTGGTACTCTACAGAAGTGCTGTTGGGTCCCCAGCAATCAAGGAAATGCAAATCATAACACACTCTAGTCAGAATGGCGGTCATTGAGATACCATTAATGATAAGTCTTGGCGAGGATGTGGGGAAAAGTCACATTTGTACATTGCTGGTGGGACTGCAAATTAGTACAACCACTCTGGAAAGCAGCATGGAGATTCCTAGACTAGGAATGGAACCACCATCCATCCCACTCCTTGTTATTTATCCAAAAGAATTAAAATCAGCATACTACAGTGAGACATGCATACCAATATCAATAGCAGCCCAATTCACAACAGCCAAGTTGTGGAACCAGCCTGGGTGCCCATCAACAGAGGACTGGCTAGAGAAAACGTGGTCTGTATACATGGTGGAGTTCTACTCAGTCATAAAGAAGAGTGAAATTATGTCATTTGTGGTTAAACAGATGGAAATGGAGAACATCATGCTAAGTGAATTAAGCCAGGTTCATTCAAGGGTTGAATGTTTTCTTTTACATGTGAAAGCTGCAGGGAAATAGAAAAGGGAAGGATTTCATAAAAATAGAAGGGAGAACAGCGGAGTAGAGAAGGGGATGGGGAGCAGGAGCAGGGATGGGAAAGAGGAGGAGCAGCAGAACAAATTAATGGAAACATGTCATGTGCATCATGAGCATATCACAGTGAATTCCACAACTATAACACACCAATTAAAAAAGCAAAAGTAAATTAATTAAACCACAATTAAGTGGAAAAGAGGAAAAAATAAAAAGAGAATCCCCATGGGGTAGCCTGTCTGGGCAGGATTAGGATGGCTTGTCATTTAATTCAAATCAACAAGGACTGCTTAACACTTGTTTTATTTCCAATTCTAGACAGGGCACTGTGCCTGATAAAGAAAAAGTAAACTTTTTAAACTAAGAAAGCTTTTTTTTTTTTAACTAAGAAACTTCATTTTATTGTTTCTTTAATAATTTCCTTTCCCCGCTATTTTCTTTTTCTGGGGCATCTTTTAATCAGATGTTAAGACCATCTGGTTTGATTCTCTAATTTCATCTTTTCTTTCCTTTTGTCTTTCATTTTTCCTACTTGGTCTTATTTTGAAGGATTATCTTGAATTATACTCCAACTCCTTTATTCATAATTTTTAAGTGGGTTGTCTGTGTTAACTTCTGATACATTAGATGGCAGAGATTGAAGTGATACCATTGAATTCCTGGCCAATGCAGAGAGCTGGACTGTGCTGTAAGTTCTCATAAAAGTTAAACTTTAAGCTGGACCTTGAAGAACAGGTAGAATTTACATAGTATGGGTGCTGGTGGGTGAGATAAGAGAATGATTTGTATCTAATAGGAACAAAGGAGTATAAAAATAACACTGGAAATTAAATATAGGATAAATAAGTTAAAGACTAACAAAGAGTCGAAATACAATGTTAAAACAGTCTTCCATAAAATGGGGGGGGGGTCAGGGGGAGAACAGAGAAAGAAAAGATAAAATTATAAAATCAAACCAGAAAGTCCAATATTGAACTATAAGCAGCTCCAGAGAGAGGACATTGTGGGAGAAATAACAAAAGAAATAATTCAAGAAACTTTCTTGAAACTGAAGGACATGAATCTTCATAATGCAAGGGTCCACCAAGTACCAAGGAAAACAATGAAGAGAGAACCACATGAGGCACACACTTGTGAAATAAAGGGATGAAAATAAGATCTAAAAGCTCCCAAGAGGAGCAAAACAGAACACTTCAAGGGAGCTCAACAGCAAAGATGGAAGCTACACAATAGTGGTCCAAACCCTTATCATTTGAAACACTTCTCTCCCAGCCAGAAATGTAAACAGCCCACTACTGATCCAAGGTGAAGGTAGAATAAAATATTTTCAGTGTCACAG